GCTTGCTAACTTCTTCACGAAGTCACATCCGGTTCATCATTTTTTGTTTCTTGCTTGACAAACTCTCGTTGCTTCTTGTTATAGCATCGTGAGTTTGAGAGGGGATGTTAACGTAATAAATAGATTAGTTTAAGGGTAGTTTTGTCATTCTATTGTTTACTTGTAAGACTATTTAAAGTCTCTCTTTCTTTGTATTTTCTATCAATTTCACACAATGTAAAACCCTAGCCCCCCCTTCGTTTTCCTCCCTCTCTGCCTTTTGTATTGTTAGTTTTCACAATGATAACACTAAGACCCTATTTGGTATTGATAAAAATTCAAATTTTAATGTAAGTCAATGTAAACAATCAGTTTTAATCACATATTTTATGGGTTCCACCACTTTTATTAAAATATACTAAAAAGATGATTTTAATCTCCACCAAACAGGGGCTAAATATAATGGAATAACTGTACACATGTACTATACTATTGTCGGAAAAAAGTAACCCTTGAGGTTTCTAATGGCACAGAGGATGATCGATGATAAGATGTTTAGGGGTGTGACACCATTATATGAGCAGCGTTAAAAGGTCCTTTGGTAGCCTTGTGGTATAGCTCGAGGTCCACCATATACATAAGTCATGCATATTGTAGTGTCTAAAGTTGTATTTGAGACTATGATGGACACATAAACACGAGTGGACAGAAATGCACCTTGTTATTGACTATGTTGATATTTGAACTCATATTGTATACTTTAGCGAGATTTGGGTCTAACAGATAAAAGATAAATAGGATGTTGATATGAGAATTAAAAAAAATAGATTCAAAAATACCGAAATCCCAAGAAAGAGATCGTTAAAAAATAAAATTTTAGAAATCGTGCACATGATCATGCTTATAACATCGCATTTTTTTTTGAAAGAAAAAAAAAATAGAAGTTTATAGAAACTTTCTAGGGATATTTTGGAGTTTTTAAGAACTTATAGACCTGATAAGTAAATTTATATATATTTTATGAGGAATGAGAAAGTAGGGGTGCGTCTGATTGCAAGAATGATATTTGCATGGAAATAAAATATTTTTTTAGTAATTCAATTGTTTAGAATTTATTTGTACGAAAATTATTAACAAAATGTGTTTTCTTGATTTAGTTTTTAACATAAAAAAACATTGCATCTATCCAGTTTTTATTGGTGGATAGATGAAAGAGGTGAATAGATAAGAGAAAGAAAGAAAGAGTGAATTACCTATAAATAAAAAAGAAATGAATATAAAAAAGTAAAGTCATAAAGTGAAATTTACCACTCTTTACATAATGAATTTAAGTTATCATGTGGTGAGTGTAATCACAAATCTCTATTTTATTAGTCTGACAACGCATGAAATTTGATAAACTCATCGGTATGGCTATTAATGTCACCTTGAAAGATTTACACCCAGTTTGAGCCACATTTTTTCGAGAATATATTTTTTCAAAATTCATTTCAGCCACACATTATTCCATAAAATAATTATACACACATTTAAAAAAAAAATCTTACTTTTTAACCACACATTCTCCAAAAAATTAATATTTCATAATACATTTTACCCTCGAAATGGGGATCAAACATGAGCTTAATATGCTTGAAGTATGTAATTCAAGTGATACTATTATGAGGGGGAGAATACGCGTAATCTTTTTTCCTTAATCAAAGTTTTGTCCCATTGAATTTTTCTAACAAGGTTTTTAACAAAACAACTTTTGTAGTGTACTAAAAAGAATAATGTAATATTTTTCCTTCATTTGAATTTTTCCCACATGGTTTTTCCTAATAAGGTTTTAACGAGACATATTTTGTGTAATAAATTTTCATAACATACAAAACATTTACCCTCAAAATAATATTTTTATATGTATGAGATTTTCGAAGAGATCAATAAGAACTATTTTCGAATCATCATATTACTACAGTCGTTAAAGATCGATAAATATTGCATACGAATACGATGTTACTTGAAGACTATACAGACAGTACGAGACATACTTCACCAGAAATTGAAATATTGAAGACATTGACATAGAAGACAAAGATCGCTTGGTACAAGAATTTTCACTTGTTTGAATTCGTGAGAGTAGTTGTACATTTTTTCCTTTGATCAAGTTTGTCCCACTGGTTTTTTTTGACAAAGTTTCCATGAAACAACATTTTATAACTCCAAATTATTTGTACTCTTTTTTTATTTGTTGGTATTTTTTACCATCGGGTTTTTGCCAAACAAGATTTCAATGAGATAGTTTTTATGCAAATAATTATCAAATGGAGAGTGCTGTAAAACTATAAGATAAATCTAGATGATTATGTAGTCTTCTCATTATGCATTGATTAATCTTATCTAGTTTAGAGAGTGTAAAATTTTATTAATAATCAAGACCATAAAAATTTGAGAAAGTAAAATTTCAACTATAATCCAAAAGAATCATGCTACATGTTCATTTTCTTTGACAACAAGTTTGACATTGAGCCACGTGTCTCGTCATCACTGGACAATTTTTAAATAAAACACATATTCTTGCTCATTTCAATTTGAATTCAAAGGAATGTAAACCACAATGTATATAAGAGAATGTACAAGTGATTTTATCCAATCCAAAATAACAGTAATCATATTATGTTGTTCTCCTATGTGATTATGTGAGAATTGAGATGTACTATAGATGTGATCATTGCCCTATGATTGGAGTATTTGAATGATGTTGCTATTGTGTACATGTATGTGTTACTATTATCATGCGGTTGGAACATTTGAGATATGTCCGTTATTAAATGATGCAGTTACACATATCCACGTGCATACATAAACATGAAATTGAGAGAAGTAACAATGCATAACTTGTAAAGTAAGAGATGATGAAATTTAGAAAATGAAGATTATGAATACTCAAATATGGTATTCGAAATGAAATGATAACACTAAGACCCTATTTGGTATTGATAAAAATTCAAATTTTAATGTAAGTCAATGTAAACAATCAGTTTTAACAACATATTTTATGGGTTCCACCACTTTTATTAAAATATACTAAAAAGATGATTTTAATCTCCACCAAACAGGGGCTAAATATAATGGAATAACTGTGCACATGTACTATACTATTGTCGGAAAAAAGTAACCCTTGAGGTTTCTAATGGCACAGAGGATGATCGATGATAAGATGTTTAGGGGTGTGACACCATTATATGAGTAGCGTTAAAAGGTCCTTTGGTAGCCTTGTGGTATAGCTCGAGGTCCACCATATACATAAGTCATGCATATTGTAGTGTCTAAAGTTGTATTTGAGACTATGACGGACACATAAACACAAGTGGACAGAAATGCACCTTGTTATTGACTATGTTGATATTTGAACTCATATTGTATACTTTAGCGAGATTTGGGTCTAACAGATAAAAGATAAATAGGATGTTGATATGAGAATTAAAAAAAATAGATTTAAAAATACGGAAATCCCAAGAAAGAGATCGTTAAAAAATAAAATTTTAGAAATCGTGCACATGATCATGCTTATAACATCGCATTTTTTTTTTTGAAAGACAAAAAAAATAGAAGTTTATAGAAACTTTCTAGGGATATTTTGGAGTTTTTAAGAACTTATAGACCTAATAAGTAAATTTATATATATTTTATGAGGAATGAGAAAGTAAGGGTGCGTCTGATTGCAAGAATGATATTTGCATGGAAATAAAATAATTTTTTAGTAATTCAATTGTTTAGAATTTATTTGTACGAAAATTATTAACAAAATGTGTTTTCTTGATTTAGTTTTTAACATAAAAAAATATTACATCTATCCAGTTTTTATTGGTGGGTAGATGAAAGAGGTGAATAGATAAGAGAAAGAAAGAGTCTCACTTAATGGATATTTATTTTTACACAATTCTTTAAAGCAAATGTTTTCCTTGTTTTTGAGGAAAATATGGTCACATGACCAAAAGTTAGAAAATATTTTCCATGAAAATAATTGTCAATCAAACACCTCAAAAGTAAGAATTTGAGTGGAAAAAAGACATTTTTTATGAAAAACAAAGCAAATCCTACACACTCTATTAATTGCACCCTAGCCTCGAGAACACCTAATAGGGGTGAAACTTTTGTAAGAAAACCCAAGATGTCCATGCCCTGGGGGATTGATCATCCCCATTAGA